TGGGGATTCTTTGACCCCAAAGCACCGTGTTAAATACGCTCGCTGCTGTTCTTCTATTTCCTCTTCCCTAGACCGAAGGCCTGGACTTCTCAGCTGATGAAATAAGATGAGCTGCATTCTTTTGTTGGGATCCACATTCACAGTCTCTTGGCTGGCACTTAACAGCACATTGGCATCTCTAAAAGCTGAACAAAACTTGCCTCAGAAGAAAAAGCAAAATTTGTGAACACATAAGACATCTGAGCCTTATTTGTCTCTGAACTAGGGTGCTGTGGAGGTCACAGCTTGGTGAATAAATCAGAGGAGGAGGGCACGAAAAACAAGCAGTCTGTCTAGGCTCCTGCCCCAGGGGCACGAGGTGGCAGAATTTGCTAAGCACCGCTCCGCGGGCTGCCGAGCCCCGGGCTGGCGGCCAGGAGAGCGAGGCTTGGCGTTTTCACCAGGGCCCAGTAACTAGGTCATGGTTTAACTGGGAAAAGTGTGTGGTCCTGTGGGCATAAGCTGCTTCTTCAAGGCTCCATGCGGCCCCAAGAGCACTGCAGTCTGCCTTTCTTTCCTCTCCTTTCCATTCTGCTTTGTCACAGTGTGTCACACCCTCTTGTCTGGCCCCTGGCTGGACCAGGACCTGCCGGGACATCACCCAGGTTGACACCAGTGGCTCGGAGGGTGAGCACGGTTGCTGCGACCCATTCCAAGTCACGCATTCTCCACTCTCAAAGCGAGCTATTGCGGTAGCAACACTCATGTCTTCAAAAGAGGGCATAGCTTTGTAAAAGGAAACATTACGTTGAAAAAATAAATAAAATTCACTGAAAATTCTTCCACATACATTTGTCTCTTGATCTTCCTTTAAAATTTATTGTAGAATCTTCCTCTGACTGAGAGTGAGAGGCTGGCTGCCCCCAACTTCCCTTCTGATCACTCTCAGATAACAAAAAGCTCTCTGGTTAATTTTAGTCCTGAAACAGACGCATGTCTTTAATTAGAATAATGCCATGTTACCTACGGGGCATGGATGGGCATCACATACTAACAGACACTACTGGCATATGCCCTGTGATGCAGCCAGACCTCTAAGCCTCCCCTCCCCGCCCTCTCTCCCAGCTGAGCTTGCGGTGGGGAAGCAGCCGGGGTGGTCTTCTGTTCTCACCTCCCCCTGCAGGCAGAGAGAGAGGACCAGACAGTTCTTAGGGGGCGGGGTAGCTCTGTATCCCGGGGCCTGGCACATGGTGAGGCTGGTTTGGTTCTACTTGGGGTGCTTTAGAAATGCCCTCCTGGACATATATCTCCACAAAACACGACTTCTGAGAGATCATGCACCCCAATATTCACAGCAGCACTACTTACAGCAGCCAGGACATGGAAGCACCCCAAATGTCCATCGAGAGAAGGCTGGATAAAGAAGATGTGGTGTATATAAATATATATACACAATGGAATACTACTCAGACATGAAAAGAATGAAATAATGCCATTTGCAGCAACATGGATGGACCTGGAGATGGTCATACTAAGTGAAGTAAGTCAGACAGAGAAAGACAAATAATGATATCATTAATATATGTAACCTAAAAAAATGACACAAATGAACTTATTTACAAAACAGAAACAGACTCACAGACATAGAAAACAAACTTGTAGT